ATATGCACCCAACATAGGAGCGCCAACTTTCATAAAGCAGCTTCTAGGTAAACTCAAAAAGATATTGACTCTAACACTATCATAGCTGAGGACTTCAATACCCCACTCACAACCCTAGACAGATTATCAGGACAAAAAATCAGCAATGAGATCCAGAACCTCAGTATGATTCTTGACCAAATGGACTTAACCCAAAACGCACGGGCCATAAGAGATAAGATAGACAAGTGGGACCTCATTACTGACAAGTTTCTGTAAAGCCAAAGAAACCATCAAGAGAGCAGGAGACAGCCCACAGACTGGGAAAAAGTATTTGCCAACTCCATGTCTGACAATATATTCACTTCATTCAACGACCACAGAATATACATTCTAGCCATCACTCCATGGAATGTACTCTAAGATTGAAAACATACTTGGCCATAAATCAAGCATAAACAAATTTCAAAAGATTGAAATTTTTCCATTCACCTTCTTGGACCACACTGGAATAAAACTAAACATCAGCACCAACAAGGTTCCCCCAAAACCCACAAAGACATGGATACTAAACAGCATGATGCTAAACAATTCCTGGGTCAATGATGAAATCAAAACAGAGATTAAAAGATACCTGGAAACAAATAAAAATGAAGAAACATCTTACCAAAATCTCTGGGATACCATGAAAGCTGTAGTAAGAGGGGAATGCATATCTCTACAAATGCACATGAAGAAAATGAAAGGATCACATATTAACAGCCTAACAAGTCACCTAAGGAAGCTGGAAGAGCAAGACCACCAAAACCCTAACTTCAGCAGAAGAATTCAGATCACCAAAATAAAAGCCCAAATCCAGGACATAGAAGACAAAAAGATAATGCAAAAAATCAATGAAACAAAAAGCTGGTTCTTTGAAAGGATAAGCAAGATCAATGGTCCCCTAGCTAGACTGACCAAGAAAAAAAAGAGAAAAAGCCCAAATGAACACAATTAGAAACACAAAAGATGAAGTCACGCCTAACCCTGAAGAAATACAAAAGATCATTAGAGACTACTTTGTATACTTGTATGGAAACAAACTTGAAAACCTTAAGGGAATGGAGGACTTTCTGGCATCACACAACCTGCCTAGGTTGAAACAAGAAGAAATTGAGACCCTAAATAGACCAATAACAATCAAGGAAATCGAGTACATAATTAGAAAACTACCTACCAAAAAAAAAAAAAAAAAAAAAAGCAGGAGGTATCACTCCCAGACTTTAAACTTCATTATAAAGCTACAAGAATCAAAACAGCCTGACACTGTACAAGAACAGGCATATAGACCAATGGCAAATTGAGGTTTTCCAGAAGCAAAACCTCAATTTCTCAACCAACTCATCTTCAACAAAGCCTCCACCACCTACCACTGGGGAGAGGAGAACCTATTCAGTAAATGGTGCTGGGAAAACTAGCTGACCACATGCAGAAGATTCAAACAAGAACTCTATCTATCCCCATACACAAAAATTAACTCTAAATGGATCAGAGACCTAAATGTAAAACCTCAAACCATGAGAACCTTAGAAAATGCAGGACTCACCCTTCTGGAAATTGGAACTGGCATCCAATTCCTGAACAAAACCCAAAACGCACAGGCCATAAGAGATGAGATTAGACAAGTGGGACCTCATTAAACTGACAAGCTTCTGTAAAACCAAGAAACCATCAAGAGAGCAGGGAGACTGCCCACAGACTGGGAAAAAGTATTTGCCAACTCCAGGTCTGACAAAGGCTTAACATCCTGGATCTACAAGGAACTCAAACGTGCTGAAAAGAAAAAACAAACAACCCCATTACAAAGTGGGCAAAGATATAAACAGACACTTCTCAAAAGAAGACATACCAGCAGCCAACAGACACATGAAGAAATGTTCAACCTCACTAATCATCAAGGAGATGCAAATTAAGACTGCACTGAGATACCACATAACTCCAGTCAGAATGGCAATTATCACTAACTCGAAAAATAACAGATGCTGGAGAGGATGTGTTGAAAAGAGAACACTTCTACACTGCTGGTGGGAGTGTAAACTAGTGCAGCCTCTGTGGAAATCAGTGTTGCGATTCCTAAAAGCTCTAAAAATCGACCTTCCATACGACCCTGCAATCCCCCTACTGGGAATATACCCTGAAGAACTCAAATCACTCTATAAAAAAGATACCTGCACATGTATGCTTATCGCAGCATTGTTCACAATAGCAAGATCATGGAACCAACCGTGCTGTCCATCAAAAGAGGACTGGATTTTTAAAATGTGGTACATATACACAATGGAGTATTACGCAGCCTTAAAAATGAACAAAATCATGAATTTCACAGCAACCTGGATGGAATTGGAGTTTATAATACTGAGTGATCTCTCACAGAAACAAACATCTGAGTATCACATGTTCTCACTCATAAGTGGACCTTGAACAACTACCGTAATACTCTAAGAAAAGGATTGGCAGTGGCAGTTAACTATGGGGGGGCAGGGAGGGAAAGGGAGGTGGGATTAACGGTAGTCGATATCTGTCTGGGGACGGGGGGCACACCTCATCAACAAGGGTATCTGCACAATGCATATTTGTATACCTAACCCTTAACTGTACCCCACAATTTTAAAATAAAAATTATGTTTAAAAAAAAAAGAAAAGAAAAAGAAAATAAGGACATACATGCAAGTCTTTTTTTTAACATGATGAAGAAAAAAATTGAACCTACTTATCCTCTCTCTTTCTCTTTAATCTCATATGCTATATAGTTCGTCCCACTGATTCAAATGTCAGTCTTGCTATTTCTATCCATGAGATTGGTGCTGTTGGAGCAACCAAAACAGAACGAACTGGGATCATGCAGTTAAAAAGTGAGATAAAGCAGGTAAGATACTACGTAGGAGCTTACTTGGGATATTGCCACGTTTAAGAATATTCTTTTGAAGGATAAACATATGGACTTTGCAGCAACTTGGATGGCTTTAGAGTCTATCATACTCAGTGATCTATCACAGAAACAAAGAACAGAGTACCATATGTTCTCACTCATAAACGGACCTTGAACAATTATCATAATACTATAAGAAAGGGATTGGCAGTAGTGGGAAACTGTCCAGCCGGGGTGTGGCAGTTGAGGAAAACTGCTAGGGGAGGGAGGGGCACATCTTATCAACAAGGGTATAATCAACATTTGTATATCTAACCCTGAATTGTACCCCACGTCTTTATTTTTTTTAAATAATATTCTTTTGAATCAGACTTTTTTGGGATCATTTATTTTGTTTCATATCCTGAGTTTAATCTGAACCATTTTTTTTCAGGTGGAATTATATAGACTGTCTATCTCAGCTGAGAGTCAGGTGAAACAAAAAAGGGATCATTTAGCATAGTTTAACTCACCTTTAGCTCTATATAACATGCATGAGCTCATGGCCTTTTCACAAATAAGATAAGTCCTGGAGCAGATTATTTGAATTGTTTTTATAACAATCATTTTGTAGATAGTTCTTCTTTTCCTGGACCAAACTACTTTGCTGATTTTAGGATGAAACTTGCATCTGATAGCAAGATATTGAAACTCTGAGTTTCTCTCATTAGGATCCACAAGTAATTTTATAATTTTCCTTATAAAACTAGGCTTGGATCTCTTACTTTTAAGAATAGGCACTAGAAAAAACATTAAATTAGGAAAAGGCCTTATTTTTGTAATTACTTGTAAGTATTGTCCCCAAATTAGATTTTAATCATTGCCATGATAGAGGTTGATAAAGCATCTTTGCTTGACCAAACTTTAGTTGAACTCCTGAAACCTTGTCCTATGCCCATCTGTGCACTTCCTTATAAAATTGAGTTTTTGCAAAAGAGCCCTGCTAAGCCCTGTTCAGTTTTCAGTTTAACCAGAAGCCCCATCCTCTATGTCTGTTCATCTTTGATACCTGATCAGGTTCCTCATCTTTTACCATTCCCCAGGTGATGTCTGATCACCCTAGCCTGTTTTCAGCAAGAATCCTGTTAGGTCAGTTTAGCCAGAATCCCCTTACTTCTGATATTTCCTCTTGGTAATTTTCTATCCAGTAAACCCACCCTCCCCACCTCCACTGCCTTTTGGCTATAAATTCCCACCTACCCATGCTGCATCTGGAATTGAGCCCAATCTATCTCCTCTACTGCAGGACCCCATTGCAGTGGTTCCTATGCCTATCACGAAGGTCCTAAATAAAGTCTTCCTTGCCGTGTTTTTACAAGTATCACTGAATATTTTTTTCTTTAACAAAGTATGCAAAATGTGTTATGGACACATAGAGGAGAAGCATCTAAATCAATCTGGGAGTTAGTGGGAGTCACTAAACACCATACTGTAGCCTCTTACTGTTTCCTGCAGATGAGAATAGATGAGTTGTTGCATTATACAAGGAAATCGTTGACACACACTTTCATAGCTTCTTTTAAAACTCTGAGAAGTCACATGGTTTCAAGATCTCTGAGTTGAGAAGGTACTGATTTGGTCCCTCCTAGAAGCACATATTATGAAAAGCTTAAAACTACTTCTCCTTTCAAAATAGAGTTATGATAGCTTGCAATATTAAAACAGCTCCAAGCCGGGCTCGGTGGCTCAGCCTGTAATCCCACACCTTGGGAGGCTAAGGTGAGTGGATTGCCTGAGCCTGTGGGTTCAAGACCCGCCTGGGCAACTTGGTGAGACCTCACCAAGTTAATAAATCAAAAAATTAGTCGGGTGTGGTAGCGCGCACCTGTAGTTCCAGCTACTTGGAAGGCTGAGGCGGAAGGATCGCTGGAGCCCAGCAGGTCAAGGCTGTGGTGGCCGGGTGCGGCCACTACACTCCAGTCTGGGTGACAGAGTGAGACTCCAACTCAAAAAAAAAAAAAAGTAAAACAGCTCCAGAAGAGGAGAGGTATAATGGAGATTTGGGATGGTATGGGTGTTTTGTTTGTTTGTTTTGTGGTTTTGGTTTTCAGAGACAGAATCTCACTATGTTGTCCAGGCTGGAGTGCAGTGGCTATATATAAGCACAAACTCCTGGGCTCAAGCTGTCCTCTTGCCTCAGACTCTAAGTAGCTAGGACCACAGGTGCACCAATGCCTGGGTTATTTGTTTTTTAAAAAAGGAATCAGAAACCATTTAGGACAGTGAGCCAATGCTTGAAGATTAATTTGAAGTACACTTGAGTACACTTATCAAATATCCTTTGGCATTTATATTTATGCAAGGATAAGAATGAAATAAAATAAGAAAGGACCTTGTATTTTTTAAAAGTGTTCACTTTACAGTTTTTCTCAAATAATTTGAATAATCTGAACATTTTCCTATTTGCAAGGTGAAAGAACTAGTTTTAGTACTGAATAATTAAATGATATTAGTAAACTATTCTTGTTTTAGTTGAGAGTAATTGACTAAACACTTAATAGTGTATAATCACATGATGCTACAAGTTCATTATATATTTAGCACCTGAAGTGCATGTTCCCAACCAGATTAATATAATATTAAGACTTGACCTACTCGGCTACATGAGTTTTTTTCCTACACTTTCATTACCTATAAGTCTTCAAGAGAACCAAAATGATTAGGACTATAACTTAGAAGATTGAGAGCTTTAAATTTTCATTACTTTCTTACTTCTAAATATTAATTTTCATTTTTACCTGTATGGTATTTTGTATTGTACTAAGCTCTTTTCTCTACCAGTCACCAATGTCTTCTTTTCTGATTCTGGAAAAAACATTTTTAAGGTAGTTTTGTTAATTTATCCCTTACTTCTAGAATGAGACTATTTCATCAGCTTTTAAAGATAACATGCTCCACCATTGCCTTGCTAAGCTATGGTATGGCCATGTGCTCTTTGAGCTATGGCCAGGCCATGCTTCCTAGCTTTGGCCCCCTTTCCTACCTTAGGAAGATGAGTCATCTGTTTCTCTCTCTCTCTCTCTCTCTTTCTAATTTACTTTCTAAGTAAACTATATTCTCTAATCTAAAAAAAAAAGATAACATGCTGGCTAGTTGCTGAAATAGTCTGTACTTTTACTATACTAATAACTTTTAAAAACACAAGTAATGATTGCCTTGCCTCATGTCTTTTAAAATTTTATGTTCTCAATTTTTTTCATAGTCCAGTGGTGGTCATCCCCTGGGTATAAATCTGATGTCACCGTCTTTTCTGGTAATTGCTGTTATCTTGCATTATATGCCATTCACAATCACTTTGAATATGCTGTTATATGAATCATGACATATACTGGTAGGTTAAAAAGAAAGACACAATGAATCAAGAAATAAAATAAGTATAAAGCAACTTTACATATGGAGGTGAAGCCTTTGCCAATAAATCAGGGAAGGGAATTCCACCTCTTTTCCATTTCAGAAAACAAAACTCAATTTAATAGTATTTGTTAAGTATCTATTCATTTATTCTTTCAGTTAATATAATTTATTACATGCCTACTATGCACCAGGCACTGTACTAGACGGCATCAGCAATACCTAAGAACCTATTCAGAATGCAAATTATTGGTTTGCACCCTAGGGGTACTGAAACAGAAAGACCGAGGGTGAGGCCCAGCAATCTGTATTGCTCTTTAAGTGATTCTGATGCATTTGCAAACCACTGAGTTAGTTATTATTCTGATTATGAATTAATTTAGTAAATATCAGTTGGGTACCAATTTTATGCCAGGCACTGGAGACATAATAGTGAACAATATGAATGTGATCGTTGCCTTCTTGAAGCTTCCAATTTAGGAACACTGATCTTCAGTTAAATTTCTTTAGTTTAAGTCAATGACATAATGAACTATGATTTCAGATCTCTCAAGCTGAAGAGATTTAGACCACATGACAACCAAACAAATGGAAAACTATTGGAAGCAATATTCATATTTTGGTTAGCCTTAGCCAAATATTCTGTAATGAATTAATTAAATTTGGCCAACTATGTCATATCCACATTAATAAAGGGCAGAGGCATAGAAGAGAATTTAAAAACTCAAACTATTGACATTTGGTTTTGGAAAACAGTATGAATTGTAGACTATAAAATCCTTACCCTTTCTGGTTTGACCTTACTATTAACAGCCTAGGACAATGAAGATGAACGAAATGGAAGTGCATCTGTTTGACAGCTCAGTGTAATCATCACTTGCCAATAGAAATGTTTTGGGGCTTTTACATAACAATGGTTGGTGATTTAGGCATTTGGCCCAAACTGAAATGTGAGAAGTTCTTTTCTCAGAAAATATTTCTGGTATTTTGTATTTTATATTTATTTCCAAATCTAAACTGTCAAATAATCATTTTCCTCAATGTGTTTTATCTTTTACTTAGTATAATTTTGTCAAAGTTCATTATGTTATAGAATGTATCAATGCTTGATTCCTTTTCATTGCTGAATAATATACTATTATATTGATGTACCATGTTTTATTTATCCATTCATCAGTAGATGAACACCTTTTTGACTATTATGAATAAGGCTGCAATGAACCTTCATGTACAAGTTTTTGCATGGGCATATGTTTTCATTTCTCTTGGGTATATATCTAGGAATGGAAGTGCTGGATCATAGGGCAACTATGTTAGCATTCTGAAGAACTGCCAAACTTTCGCAAAGGTGTGCATCATTTTACATTCCTGCTTGCAGTGTATGAAGGTTCCAATTTTGTCAAATCCTCTGTTGTCTGCTTTTTTATTATAGTCATCCTAGTGGGTGTGAAGTGGTATATCATTGTGGTTTTGACTTGCATTTCCCTAATGGCTAATTATATTGAGCATCTTTTCATGCGCCTGTTGGTCATTTGTTTATTTTCTTTAGAGAAGTGTCAGATCAGATCCTTTGCCTACTGTTAGTTGGTTTTCTTGTCTTTTTATTATTGAGTTGCTGTGAATCTTTATATATTCTGGACACCAGTCCCATATCTGATAAATAATTTGCAAATATTTCTCCCATTTTATGGATTGTCTTTTTACTCTCTTAATGGTGTTCTTTGAAGATCAAAAGTTTTTAATTTTGACAAAATCCAATTTATCTGTTTTTTCTTTTTTTGCTCGTTTTGTTGTTATATCTAAGAAGACTAACCCAAGATTTGACTAACCCAAGATTGCAAAGATTTATTTGTATCTTTTGTTCTACAAGTTTTATAGTTTTAGCTATTACATATGGACCTAAGACTATGTTGAGGGGCTCCCTAAGACCACCACCAGTTTGATGATTTACTGGACAGACTTATGGACTCAGCACATAGTAATACTCACAGCTATGATTTATTACAGGGAAAGGATACAGAGTAAAATCAGGAAAGGAACAAGACTCATTGGACGAAGTCCAGGGGGAAAAGGCACAAGCTTCCAGAGTACTCTCTCAGAGAAGTCACACAGGATGCACTTAATTCCCCCTGCAACAAGTTGTGACAAGATGTGTGACATATTGCCAACCAGGGAAGCTCATTAAAGACCAAGTACCCAGGATTCTTATTGGAGTCTGGTCACATGAACAGCCTCTGTCTGGAATATACAAATTCCAGACTCCTAGAAAGAAAGCACATGTTCAACATAAACCATAGTGTTTGTAAAAACAGTTTAGGCAGAGTAGACCACTGTTACCAGTTCTGGGAATGGTAGTAACTCTCCCCAAATCCAAATTTCCAGATGTCAGCCAATGGCCAAACTTGTAAGCAGCCTTTCCAAGAATAGCAGTTCTGTCCTGCTGTATTAACTCTTTTCTGCACAATGATCCATTTGAACTTAATTTTTGTGTATAGTGTGAGGTAGAGGGTCCAACTTCATTCTTTAGCATGTGGATATTCTTATATCTAGCACTATTTGTTGAAAAGATATATTCACCCATTTAATTCTCTTGGCATCCTTATTGGAAATTAGTTGACCAAAATATAATGATTTATTTCTGCACTTCCAATTCTATTTCATTGCTCTATATGTCTGTCTTATACCAATATGACACAGTTTTGATTATTGTAGCTTTGTAGTAAATTTTAAAATCAGGAAATGTGAGTCTTCCAACTTCAGTCTTCTTTTTTAACATGAATGTTAGGATCAGATTGTCAATTTCTGCAAAGAACCCAACTGGGATTTTGACAGATATTGCATTCAATCTGTAAATTAATTTTGAGAATATCGCCATCTTAACAATGTTAAGTCTTCTGATCCATGAACGTGGGATATTTTTTCCCATTCATTTAGGTCTTTAATTTTGTTCAACATGTTTTATAGTTTTCAGAGTATATGTTTTGCACTTCTTTTGTTAAATTTATTCCTATGTATTTTATTCTTTTTTATACTATTTTAAATGGGATTCTTTTCTTAATTTCATTTTCAAATTGTTAATTTGCTACTGTTTAGGAATATGATTTGTTTTTTTATTATGGTAAGAATATCTAACATGAGATCTACCCTTAAAAAAACTTTTAAGTACACAATACAGTATCATTAACTATAAGCATGATGTTGTACAGTAGATCTCCAGAACTTATTCACCTTACATAGCTGAAATTTTCCCCATTGTACAGGAGATTCCCATTTTCTTCTCTCCCTAGCCCCTAGCAGCCACCTACTCTCTGCTTCTATGAGTTTGACTATTTTATACACCTCATATAACTGGAATCATACAGTATCTGTCCTTCCATGATGGGCTTATTCCACTTAGAGTAATGTTCTACAGGTTCATCCATGTTGTCATATATTGCAAGATTTTCTTCCTTTTTAAGGTTGAATAATATTCCATTGTATGTATATGCTGCATCATCTTTTACCATTCAACTATTCTAGATATTTAGGTGGTTTTTCTATCTCAGCTATTGTGAATAATGCTGCATTGAACATGAGCATGCAAATATTGCTTCAAGATTCTAATTTCAATTCTTTTAGGTAAATACCCAGTAGTGGGGCTGCTGGGTCATATGGTAGTTCTATTTTAATTTTTTCTTTTCTTTCACTTTTTCTTTTTTTTTTAAGAGATGAGATCTCACTATGCTGCTCACACTGGTCTCAAACTCCTGGTCTCAAGATATCCTCCTGCCTCAGCCTTCCAAAGTGCAAGGATTCCAGACATGAGCTACAGCACCCAGCCTATTTTTAATTTTTGAGGAACTGCATCATTTTACATTACCGCCAACATTGTACAAGGGTTCTAGTTTCTTCACATCTCCACCAACACTTATTATCTTTTTTTTTATAATGACCATCCTAACAGGTGTGAGGTGATATCTCATCATAGTTTGATTTGCATTCCCATGTTGATTAGTGATGTTGAGCATCTTTTCAAATACCTGTTGGCCATTTATATGTCTTCTTTAGTCAAATGTCTACTCATGTAAAATACAATTGATTTTTGTTATTGCCCTTATATTGTGCAACTTTACTGAATTCATTTATTAGCTGTAATTGGTTTATAGTGAATTCCTTACAATTGTCTATATACAAGATCATATCATCTGCAAATAGAGATAGTTTTACTTCTTTCATTTCCAATCCAAATGCTCTTTATTTCTTTTCTTGTTTAACTGCCCTGGCTAAAATCTCCAGTATAAGGTTGAATGGAAGTGATGTAAGTGGGCATTTGTGTGTTGTTCTGACCTTAGGAGAGAAAGCATCAGTCTTTGACCACTCATTATGTTAACTCCAGGATTTTGTAGGGAAAAAATCTAATCTTTTATTAGACTGAGGAAGATTCCTCCTGTCCCTAGTTTGTTGAGTGTTTTTGTCATGAAAGTGTGTTGAATTTTAAGTGCGTTTTCTACATCTATTAAGATGATGTGTTTTTTTATGCTTCATTCTATTGATATGATGTATTAAATTAATTGGTGTTCAGATGTTAAAACAATCTTGAATTCCTGGAATAAATTCCACTTCATCATGTTATATAATCCTTTTAGTATATCATTCACTTTGGTTTGCTAGTATTGTGTTGAGGATTTGGAGATCTATATTCAGAAAGGATATTAAACTGTAGTTTTCTTTGTGATATCTTTGGTCTTGATATCAGGGTAATACTGGCCTCATAGAATGCGTTCGGAAGTATTCCTTTCTCTTCTCTTTTTGGGTAGAGATTGTGAAGAACTAGTGTTAATTCTTCTTTAAATATTTTGTAGAATTAGCCAGTGAAGTATCTGTGCATGAGCTTTACTACTTTGTGGGAAGTTTTTGTTTTGTTTTGTTTCGTTTTTGCTTTATTTGAGACAGGGGTCTCACTATATCACTTAGGAGCTGGTCTTAAACATCTGCACTCAAACAATCCTCCCACCCTCAGCCTCCCAAGTAACTGGAATTACAGGCAGGTACCACCACACCTGTATTTTGTGGGAAACTTTGTACTTACTAATTTGATCTTTTTATTTGTTATAGGTCTATTCCGATTTTTTATTTCTGAGTCAGTTTGGATAGTTAGTGTCTTTCTAAGAATGTGTCCAAGGAACGTGTCCATTTTTTCTAGGTTATGTAACTTGTTAGCATATGACTGCTGACATTAGGTCTTTATGATCCTTTTTATTTCTGTAAGGTCAGAATTGATGTCTCTTTTTTGGCTCTTTTTTTTTTCATGGTCTATCTAGCTAAAAATTTGTTTACTTTGTTGATATTTTCATTGAAAGAAATTTTGGTTTCATTGATTATTTCTGTTGTGTTTCTATTCTTTAGTTTATCTCTTTCCACTCTAATTTTTATTATTTCCTTCCTTCTGGTTTTCAATTTAGATTTCTCTTCTTTTTTTCATTGTCTTATGATGAAAGGTTTGGTTGTTGATTTGAGATCTTTATTCTTTTTAATACAGGCATGAATAACATAAATTTCTCTTTAAGCACTGTTGTAGCTGAATCTCATAAGTTTTGGTATGCTGTGTTTTAATATTCATTCATCTCAGAATATTTTCTATCTTTCCTTGTGATTTTTCTAATGCATTGGTGATTTAGGAGTGTGTTGTTTAGTACCACATATTTGTAAGTTTCCTTCTGTTACTGATTTCCAACTTAATTCCATTGTGGTTAGAGAACATATTTTGTATGATTTCAATTATGTTAAGAGTATTGTGGCTTGTGTTATAGTCCATGAGAACAACAAACTAAGCTATAGACAAGCTAGAAATTTAACAGCAATAACTAAGTAGAGACAGCTGAAAATGTCCCATGTCATCAATATTTGTATGGCTCTTCTTATGTATCACCAGATTGCTTTTTAAAAATATTGTACCACTTTACAGCACTGCTAGCTACATATAAGTCTACTAGTTTCACTGTAACCTCTTTATCTTGGCTATCTCGCTTAATATGTGGTTTATAATTCTGCAAAGCGTGTTTATTGTTCACTATGCTATAATACTTGATCATAGGATCAGAGATAACATTTGATTTATGTTCTTTCCTCTCCTCTTCTCCCAAGTCACCTGGAGCCTCTATGACTCCAAGTAGTGGGTCCTTGCCTAGTGTGTATGATCAACAGTCATCTAAAGATAGTCGTCAAGGTCAATGGCAACGTCGAAGAAGGTTGGATGGAGCACTGAATAGAGTCCCAGTTGGATTTTATCAAAAAGTATGGAAAGTTTTGCAGAAGGTAGGCATAATATATTGTTGATGTCCCTTTATTTTTTCCCCCTTAAAATCCTGAGTCTCCTTGGCTGAAATATGGCATTAACATCACTATAATTATATAAAAGTCTCATACCCAGATGGACAAAACCAAGAAAACATGAAATTGAAGGAGCTGATTTGTTTTTATGGCATTATTGATAATTTACTTTATCTCCATCATTGTTGTTGTGATTTTGTTTCTAAATTAGATATTTTAAATCATCACTTTTCTGCTTTTGACCATAGTTGGACAACATAGGACATTGTGGTACATTTGCTGCTAATCAAATGAACCTGGTACTAAGGCGCTCATTTTCTGTGTAGCTTTTGAGGACTGGAAATGTTATTTATAGCAATGTGCAGTTCACCAAATATCACTAGAGTAAAACATCTGCAGAGTTTGTGTAAGAGGTCTTATCTATTTTCTGTTGGATGAAAACTACAAAATAAATGCAGTCATGATGATGCTAATAGTTCAAAGATTCTTGATGTGACCAATATTTGTTTTTCTTTCAAAGACCTATTCGGTCAAAAACATTTAAGGGCGCATCACACCATTATGATGGTGACAGTTTTAGAGGGCCAAGAAGACTTGTGTTCATTCGTAAGTCTCATTCATAGTCTCTTAGGTGCAACTTTTTGCTCCATTACCCTTGATAAGGACCTGAAGAATACTTCATCCAAGACTTCAACCCCATTAATTATGTTTTCCCCCTCTGCATGCTGTTATTCTTCCAGGGATGGAATCAGGTGATCTTTCAGAAAGGTGAAAATTGATTCCTCAGACTATCAGCTCTGGTAATCTTCCTTTTGAAGAATGCTGAGAACTTGCTTTCCCTCCAGCTAGATTCTATAGTACAATAATGACAAACATATATTTTATCTCTCCAGTTATGCATGGTTTATGGCAATTCAATTAAACAGACATGTATTAAGTGCTGTTCTACCCCAGATACAAAGTATCTGTTCCTTGTTATCAAGAAATTTAATCTATATTAATCACCTTAAAAAGCAGCTATGATGTAAGGCAAAATGTGTTATAAAAAAGATTCAAAACCGCATGGCTATGGGAATACAAAGAAGGAACATTTAAATCTGACTGGGACGACAGGGTATTTTGTGGCAGAATCAAAACTTGGACATGGAATCCTAATGTAAGAGGCAAAACACATGCCCTCTGTTTTTTCATTCAGTTCCCTTCAGAGTATGAACAGACTCCTTTTGCACCTGTGTTTGAAGGCTGGGAATTCTCTGTACAAAGGTTTTTTTGGCATATGGAATATGGGATAAAAGTATCGAGTAGAGTCAGTAAACCTGTTAGGTTAGAATCTTTATCAGTGGTTGTTTAATATATAATGTTTTGATCTATTTAAAATCTAAAATACCAAGTCATTAATTCACACAGCATTTTATTTTATTTTATTTTTTAATCAATATTTTTATTATGATTTTGTGGGGTACACTTAAGGGTTAGGTGTACAATTACATTTCATTCAGGCAACCTGTTGATAAGAGGTGTTTCCCCATCCCCAGACAGATATTTGCGACTGTTAATCCCATCCCCCTCCCCCCCTAGTTTCCCAGTACCGTCAGTCATTTTCTTATAGTATTATATTGGATGTTCAAGGTCCATTATATGAGTGAGAACATGTGATACTTGGATCTTTGTTTCTGTGAGAGGTCACTCAGTATTATAGACTCTAGTTCCATCCAGGTTGCTGCAAAATTCATGATTTTGTTCTTTTCTATGGCCGCGTAGTATTCCATCATGTATATGTACCACATTTTTTTAATCCAGTCCTCTTTTGATGGGCAGCATGGTTGTTTCCAGGTTCTTGCTATTGTGAACAATGCTGCAATAAACATACGTGTGCAGGTATCTTTTTTATAGAGTGATTTGAGGTCTTCAGGATATATTCCCAGTAGGGGGACTGTGGGGTCATATGGAAGGTCGATTTTTAGAGCTTTTAGGAATTGTCACACTGCTTTCCACAGAGGTTGCACTAGTTTACACTCCCACCAACAGTATAGAAGTGTTCCCTTTTCACCACACCCTCTCCAGCAGCTGTTATTTTTTGAGTTGTTGATAATTACCATTCTGACTGGAGTTAGGTGGTATCTCAGTGTGGTTTTGATTTACATCTCCCTGATGATTAGTGAGGTTGAGCATTTCTTCATGTGTTTGTTGGCTGCTTGGATGTCTTCTTTTGTGAAGTGTCTGTTCATATCTTTTGCCCATTTTATAATGGGGTTGTTTGTTTTTTTCTTTTCAGCACGTTTGAGTTCCTTGTAGATCCAGGATGTTAAGCCTTTGTCAGACCTGGAGTTGGTAAATACTTTTTCCCAGTCTGTAGGCTGTCTCCCTGCTCTCTTGATGGTTTCTTTGACTTTGCAGAAGCTTGTCAGTTTAATAAGGTCCCACTTGTCTATCTTCTCTCTTATGACCTGTGGGTTTCGGGTTTTGTTTTGGATGCCAGTTCCGATTTCCATGAGGGTATTTCCTTCCTTTTCTAAGGTTCTTATGATTTGAGGTTTTACATTTAGGTCTCTGATCCATTTGGAGTTAACCTGTGTGCATGGGGATAGATAGGGGTCCTGTTTCAATCTTCTGCATGTGGTCAGCCAGTTTTCCCAGCACCGTTTACTGAATAGGTTCTCCTCTCCCCAGTGGTAGGTGGTGGAGGCTTTGTCGAAGATGAGTTGGTTGAGAAATTGAGGTTTTGCTTCTGGAATCTCAATTCTATTCCATTGATCTATATACCTGTTCCTGTACCAATACCAAGCTGTTTTGATGATTGTAGCTTTATAGTAAAGTTTGAAGTCTGGTATTGTGATACCACTGCTTTGTTTTTTTTGCTGAGGATTGTTCTGGCTATTCTTGGTCATTTGTGTTTCCATATGAATTTCTGTGTTGTGTTTTCCAGGTCTGAGAAGAATGTTGCTGGTAATTTGATGGGTATTGCATTGAATTTGTAGATTGCCTTAGGTAAGATGGACAACTTCACAATGTTGATTCATCCAATCCATGAGCATGGGATATTTTTCCACTTGTTTGTGTCATCTTTGATTTCTTTGAGCAGTGTTTTGTAATTTTCATTGTAAAGGTCTTTCACGTCTCTGGTTAGGAAGATGCCAAGGTATTTCTTTTTTTTTTTGTGGCTATTGTAAATGGAATTGTGTTTTTTATTTGGGTTTCTGTGTGTTTATTATTGGTGTAGAGAAATGTGATTGTCCTTTGTACATTTATTTTGTATCCTGAGACTTTGCCAAAGGCCTTTATCAATGTAAGGAGGCTTTTGACAGATTATCTTGGGTTTTCGAGGTACACAATCATATCATCTGCAAAGAGAGAGAACTTGACTTCCTCTTTTCCTATTTGGATACCCCTGATTGCCTTCTCTTCTCTGATTGCTCTACCCAGGACTTCCAATACTATGTTGAACAGGAGGAGTGAGAGTGGGCATCCTTGTCTAGTTCCATTTTTCAGGGACATTGATTCCAATTTTTGTCCATTTAGGAGTATGCTGGCTGTGGGTTTCTTGTAGATGGCTTTTACTATTTTGAGGTATGTTCCCCATATGCCTAGATGTTCAAGGGTTTTTATCAAGAAGGGGTGCTGGACTTTATCAAAAGCTTTTTCTGCATCTAATGATATGATCATGTGGTTTTTGTTATGACATCTGTTGTTGAATTTAATTGCATTTATGATTTTACGAATGTTGAACCAGCCTTGCATCCCAGAAATGAAGCCTACTTGGCCATGGTGGATGATTTTTGAGATGTATTGCTGAATCCGGTTTGCTAGGATCTTGTTGAGAATTTTAGCATCTATGTTCATCAAAGATATTGGCATGTAGTTCTCTTTCTTTGTTGGATCTTTACCTGGCTTGGGTATCAATGTGATGTTGGCTTTGTAAAATGATTTGGGGAGAGTTCCATCTTTTTCAATCGCCTGGAATACCTTCAGTAGGATTGGTATCAGCTCCTCCTTAAATGTCTTGTAGAATTCTGCTGGAAAGCCATCTGGACCAGGGCTTTTTTTTGTAGGAAGTTTACTTATTACGTGGTCGATTTCCTTGATTGTTATTGGTTTATTTAGGGTCTCAATTTCTTCTTGTTCCAACCTAGGTAGGTTGTGTGATGTCAGAAAGTCTTCCATTTCCTTCTGGTTTTCAAGTTTGTTTCCATACAAGTGTACATAGTAGTCTTTAATGATCTTTTGTATTTCTTCAGGATCAGATGTGACTTCATCTTTTGTGTTTCTGATTGTGCTTATTTGGTTTTTTTCTCGTTTTTTCTTGGTCAGTCTAGCTAGGGGACCATCGATCTTGTTTATCCTTTCAAAGAACCAGTTTTTTGTTTCATTGATTTTTTGTGCTATCTTTTTGTCTTCTATGTCCTGGATTTGATCTTTTATTTTAGTGATCTGGATTCTTCTGCTGAAATTAGGGTTTTTGTGGTCTTGCTTTTCCAGCTTCTTTAGGTGGCTTGTTAGGTTGTGAATTTCTGTTCCTTCCATTTTCCTCATGTGTGTTTGTAGGGATATAAATTCCCCTCTTATTACAGCTTTTAAGACATCCCAGAGATTTTGGTAAGATGTTTCTTCATTGTCATTTGTTTCCAGGTATCTTTTGATCTCTGTTTTGATTTCATCATTGACCCAGGAGTTGTTTAGCATCATGCTGTTTAGTGTCCATGTCTTTGTGGGTTTGGGGGGGACTTTGTTGGTGTCAATGTTTATTTTTATTCCACTGTGGTCCGAGAAGGTGCATGGTAGAATTTCAGTCCTTTTAAATTTGCTTATGCTTGATTTATGGCAGAGTATGTGGTCAATCTTAGAATATGTTCCATGTGGTGATGAGTAGAATGTGTATTCTGTGGTCTTTGGATGGAGTGTTCTGTAGGTATCAATTAAGTCCATTTGGTCCAAAGTCACATTGAGGTTCCGGATCTCCTTGCTGATTTTTTTTGTCCTGATGATCTGTCTAGGGTTGTGAGTGGGGTATTAAAGTCCCCAGTTATGATGGTGTTAGAGTCAATATATTTCTTTAGTTTTCCTAGAAGTTGCTTTATGAAAGTTGGCACACCTATGTTGGGTACATATATGTTTAGGATAGATATTTCTTGTTGATGGATTGAGCCTTTTATCATTATGTAGTGGCCTTCTGTATCTTTTTTTATTTTTAATAGCTTGAAGGGTATTTTGTCTGAAATTAAGATAGCTACTCCTCCTTTCTTTTGTATTCCATTCGCCTGAAAGTATGTTTCCCATCCTCTTACTTTGAGTCTGTGGGTGTCCTTTCTAGTGAGGTGAGTCTCGTGAAGGTAATAGATTGTTGCCTGATGATATTTTATCCATTTTGCCATTCTGTGTCTTTTCAGTGGTGCATTTAATCCATTCACATTTAGGCTAATAATTGAAATGCAAGAGTTGATCCCTGTCATAAGGTTCTCACAGAGTGGTTCCTGTTTGTTTGTTGTCTTTTTTTGGGTTTTGGAGTTGGTTCATGTGTGTTTTTAATCTTTTGCCTGTACTCTTGTGAAAAATGTTGTTCTTTTTTCTTTTTCTTCTGTGTTCAGTACTTTGTTAAGTGTTTCTTGTAGAGGTGGTCTGGTGGCAGCGTAGGTTCTTAGGGATTGGATATCTCGAAAAGATTTCAGTTCTCCCTCACTAATGAAGCTTAGTTTGGCTGGGTAGGTTATTCTTGGTTGAAATTGTTTCTCTTTTAGAACTTTGAATATAGGGCTCCAGGCTCTCCTAGCCTGAAGGGTTTCTGTGGATAAATCTGCTGCTATTCTAATTGGTTTTCCCTGGTAGGTAGTCTGGCCTTTTTCTCTTGCTGCCTTTAGGATTTTTTCTTTTATAGTTACTTTGTTTAGGCGAATTATTATGTGTCTGAGAGTTGGTCTTCTCATTTGTTGTTTTACAGGGGTTCTCTGAATCTCTTGTGTTTGAATTTTTTCATCCTTGATGAGATGAGGGAAGTTTTCTTGAATGATTTCATGAAATGTTTTTTCCAGTGTGGCTTCTGTTTCTCTGCCTCAGGAAGCCCAATTACTCTTAGGTTTGGTGTCTTGAAGTGATCATTCATCTCTTGCAGGTTTTGTTCTGTGTTTTTGAACTTCTTTTCTATGCTTTTGGCAGTTTGGGTTAGTTCTGTGTTTTGGTCTTCGAGCTCTGAGATTCTTTCTTCTGCTTGGCTGATTCTGCTTTCCATGCTTATTAGTCTGTTATTCATTTCCATCACAGTGTTTTTTACTGCTGTCATTTCTGACATCAGCTCCTTCCTATTTTCCTCTTGTCTCTCCTCAATTTTTTAATTCTCTCCATTAATGTCTTGATGTATGGGTTTGTCGCATGAAAGCAGTCATTCTGGGGGCTCTTCATTGTTTGTGTTCCAGAATCTGTTTTCTCAGTGTCTGATCTCCCAGGGGTCTGTGTGAGACCTATATTCTTCTTTTGGTTTTTCTTCATTTGTGCGGTTTTTCCCCCTCCCTACTTTTTCCTTCCCTCCACGTCACCATCTTCTTTAATTCTGTTATTCAGGGGTAAAGGGATTGGTTTTACTTCTGTTTGTTCAATCTCCTATTTCTTTATGTATGCCCTCCTACTTTGTTCAATTCTGGAGTTCCACTGTAGGTTGGGGGTGGTCCTCTTTGCAGTTTTGAGATTTACTTAAGGGGGGAACTGTGATTCAAAATCTATCTGCAGGTCCTGGTATTCGCTGACAGGTGTGTGAATAATCTGGAACCTACTTCCTACTGCCTTGGAATCTGTCTGTGCAGTGGGGCTGTAGGTTTACTCCCTGAAATAAAATGTGGTTAGCAAAGGGGAGAGAATGGAGCAGACAGTGGGTTGAAGAGGGGGGTAAAGAGATAGAGGAGTAAGGGGGGAAACAAACGAGTGTGCCAACAAATGGTGAGAGAGGCCTATACTGAAACAGATAAAAACAATAGACCACAGCTACAGACGAACCAACTCTCATACAAAAAAAAAAAATAAAACATATAGTGATGCTAACATACAAGCTAACCAACCACCTTGTTAGTATGCTGTTCCTCTATACAAAGATATGGTTTACAGAGAGAAGAAAAGAGAAGAAAAGGAAAAGGAAAAAAGAAAAAAGGGAACAATACAGTAGGAATAGAATTAAGTCATTAAACTAACAGAATCAATGAAGCACACTCTGAGACATTTCGTTTAAGTCCAATGTCCTTTCAGGTCTGATTTCTAGTTTTCTTTTCAAGCTGGTAAATTAGTTTGCAGTTAGGGTCAGTTGCCCTGGTCTGCTGTGAAGGACAGTTCAGGTCACCCTCCTTCACCACTCTGGCCTATGTCTTTATCAAGCTTGTTTCTCCCGTTTCGGTGTTGTTACCTTGAATCGCCAGCAGGTGGTGCTATCTCAACTGCTCGCCCCAGAGGGGGTGGGGCCGGACAGGGACGGCAGAGGCTGAAGATGGCAAGATGGCTGCCTGCCTCAGGGCAGACGGCAGGAGACTTTCGGTGGGCAGGAGAGGTGGCAGCGATCCCAGCAGATCTTCCCTGAAGGAGCTTCAAGGACTGAAGATGTGGATCGCCTCCGGCCCAGGTGGTGTGATGTGCTACTGGCGATGGTGGCAGTGGCTGTGGCGGCTGCGGCGTCTGCATCTGCAGTGGCTGTCCAGACCGCTGCGATGCCCCAGCGGTGGCAACGGCCGAGCTTCGTATGAAGAGCAGGCTGCGATGTTGGGGTCCGTAGCCCCCGGGGCGAGAGTCAGAGACCCACTGCAGTTCTCCTTTGCAGAGGTTTTCACAGACCGGGTTGCCCCATCACCATCTTGCCAGAAGTGACACACAGCATTTTAATAATAGAGTTGATAGTGAGGGGGAAGATAAAATGTTCATTTATATAATATTTATGGAGCATCTACTATGCAACAGGCAATGTTCTATGTGTTCATACAGCAAAGCACAAAACAATGATCTCTGTTCTCATGGAACTTATATTCTATTAGGGAAAAACCCAAATAAATAATAACCATAGTAATTAAGTAGAGCATATAGAAAGTTAAAAGATGATGAGTACTAAGGAGAAAGTAGAGCAGGGTAAGAGTACTTATAGGGAGATGGGATACTTACCTAGAAAATGTAGTAATGGTTGTTACATGTCCAATAAATGCATGTATCATGTTTTTTTCTACAATCTAAAAATCTTTCTGTAGGCCTATTTATGATGGCACTGAGACCTAGCATGATATCCTCCCAGGTAGTCTCTGAATGTTTGGAATTAGTCAATCCCAGAAGGTAGATCTTACCTACCCATTCCACTTCCTTAAGTAGAGAATGGACCTTGAGTCCCCTGTAGTTCAACCCTGCATCTTGGCATTTAGGAACCATGACCCCCTGGCCAGGGCACTTAGGCTGCAGGGCCTCTTGCTGGCCTGTGATTATTCAGCATATACCCCCATGAACCATACTTAGAAATACAAAGTGTCCCTCAGTTGTTAGCCTACCCTTGGGTGACAACATTTTATGTTTTGTAGTGCCATGGACTTTCTGTGGAAGGTTTTGTTCTTCCTTCTTCAACCACCAGAGAGGTAAGATTCTGTTTCTTGCTCATTTATATGACTAATAACTTGCCTGGCTAAAGTGTTTCAGTGATCACTTTTTAAAGTAATAGACCTGTGCTTTTGTAATTCAACTGAACATGAAATGTATTTGAAGAAAGGAGATATTTTTTTAATTGAATGGAAACATTAGAGAATAATATGTGTTATATTGATTATATAAGGACAGATCTTTTTAATGGTTGGTTAAGTTAGCTGTTTTATGTGAGTGTTGTAAGAGTTGGAAAGGGCAAGACAGACCAAAATCTAAGAATGAATGACTTCTCTTGTCTTTCTGTGCTTCTCATTCCTACCTTTCTCTGGTAGGATGTTTGTAGACCATTAGAGCATATGCCAGTGGTCATTAACTGTAACTATATATTGGAGTAACCTGGGCTCCCATCTCCACCCTAGTTGGATTAGAATCTCCAGGAAAGGGACATGAGCATCTGTATTTTTTTTACTCTGTACAAGGATCTGACAATTAAGTTTGTGAACTCATCCTAGAAAAAGTGCTACATACCTCATTGCTGAATATCACTACAGACACCTTTAGTACTACCATAATTCTGATATATAACTGTGGTTGGAAAACACTACCATAAACCTAAATCAGATTATCAGATGCTTTTATATTTTTCATCTTGTCCAAATTACACAGAAATGATGAACTAGCTTTTATACAGAATCAACAAAGGAGCTGTTGTACAAGAAGTACAAGGTCTGACAATTAAGTTAACAAACTTGCCACCATGTGCTTATGTTGACAGCACTGTACAAAAAACTCAGTAAGGGTGTATAACCTTGGTATTTCAGTGTCTCACAGCTGTGCTCATGTCAATGTGTGGCAGTGTCTTGCTGGGTGGTATTCATTATTGTTGCATGATTTTGTGTGCCGTCACAAGACTATCTGAGCTTGAATTAGAGCAATGAACAGACATTAAATTTCTTATTAAACTTGGCAAGAGTGAAAGTGAAATCAGGGACACGTTAGTCCAGGTTCATGTGGACAATTCCATGAAGAAAATGGCAGTATGCACATGGAGTAAATGTTTTTTCTGAAGAGGAGAAAGCATCACCAATGAAGAGCGGACAGGATGACCAGTAAGAGCAGAACTGATAAAAACACTGCAAAAATTTATTGAATTGTACATCAAAATTGTCAGCTGACTGTAAAAAGAATTGCTAAATAAACATCAATAGAGAGACAGGAAAATCTTAACTGAAAATCTTGGCATGAGAAAGACATGTGCAAAAATGTTCCCAAAGGAGCTCTTACATCACGACAATGCACCAACTCACACAGCACTGTCTGTGCAGGAGTTTTTAGCCAGTAAACAAACAACTATATTGGAACACCCTCCCTACTCACCTGATCTGGCCCCCAATGACTTTTGTCTTTACCTGAAGATAAAGTAAATATTGAAAGGAAGACATTTTGATGGCATTCAGGACATCAAGGGCAATACAAAGACAGCTCTGATGGCCATTCCCGAAAAAGAGTTCCAAAATTGCTTTGATGGGTGAACTAGGCACTGGTATCAGTGCATCACTTCCCAAGGGGGGCACTTTGAAGGTGACCATAGTGATATTCAGCCATGAGGTATGTAACACTTTTCCTAGGATGAGTTTAAAAACTTAATTGTCAGACATCATAAGATTGAACAGTAGAAAATTCTTGAAAACACCAGGGTTGTTACAGATAGTGACTGGGGGGACAGGTACAGAAAGCTAGTGCTATGTTTCAGGATTTCACTCTGCCTATAGGCCCTTTCTCTAATAAAGACCACCATGTTTCCTATTTGTTGTTTCTTTGCCTTTAAGCAAGATTGAAATGTTCATATAATTACAATAATACTTACCTGAATAGTACCTTTTAAGAGTTTTTAGTCATTATTTTACATTATTTAATTTGGTCTCCAACACATTATGTGAGATAGGTAAAGAAGAGATTGCCATTTCCAATTTACATATAAGAAAACATATTTCAGCCAGGCTCGGTGGCTCAGCCTGTAATTTCAGCACTTTGGGAGGCCGAGGTGAGTGGATTGCCTGAGCCCGTGGATTCAAGATCAGCCTGAGCAACTTGGCAAGGCGTCATCTCTACAGTAAATCAAAAATTAGCCAGGTGTGGTAGCACATGCCTGTAGTTCCAGCTACTTGGAAGGATCGCTGGAGCCTAGTAGATGGATGCTGGGGTGGCCGTGAGTGTGCCACTACACTCCAGCCTGGGTGACAGAGTGAGACTTCTCAAAAAAAAAAAAAAAGAAAGAAAAAGAAAACATATTTAGAGGAATTAATTATCCAAGGTTGTACAACTAGTCACTGACAAAGACAAGACTTGAACCCAAGTCTTTAGATTCCAAATCTACATTGCCCCTCTAAAATATATACTCAATACAAGTTTACCAAAACTTATTCTTCAATCCCCTTCATCCTAGAATAACTTTGCATTTCTTGATACCTCTTGTAACCTAATAATATACGAATATCTTACATAATTCTAATCATTTTGCACATACAATTTTAAGTTTCACTTAATTTTTTTCTTTATTCACAGTTATCAGGTTTATTCTTTTAAATGGTCCTGTAAAACCCAATGAAATTGCTGTGCCATGATATGTCTTTCTTGTGTTTAAGTTACTCCTAGTTTTTATGCTTGTGACTAATATTGCTATAAACACTCATATATATATAACTTTTTTCCTCTTTAGTATTGCTCCCTTAGGAGTACTCTCAGAAATAGGATTAAGGATTAGAGGGCATTGACACTTTTATGACTCTTGTTATGCATTCCCAGATTGCCTTCCAAAAAGATTGAACTGTTTTACTCTCTCAATTACTTTTAAAGGGGGCTGAATCAGTACTCGTGTCTACGGTGTTTTTCTTGCTTTTCAGAGCAGGTGATTGACATCTCCTGGATGATAGGCTACTAGGAAGTGATTCTCTTTTTTTTCTATTACAGATGACTCCAGGAGAGATTAAATTCTCTGTTCACGTGGAGTCTGTCCTGAATCGTGTACCTCAACCAGAGTACCGCCAGCTTCTGGTTGAAGCCATCCTTGTCCTCACCATGCTGGCAGATATTGAAATTCATAGCATTGGCAGCATCATTGCTGTGGAAAAAATAGTGCATATTGCCAATGACTTGTTCCTTCAAGAACAGGTAGGTAAACCTGTTGTTTTCTCAAAGGAGAAGTGTTTCTACTCCAACCTAATTGCATTCAGAGCTCTTCAAGAAGCCAGGGTCACTTCTTTGTGGACTCTTTCTCATAGCTCTTTTCTTTGTAGTGACTCTGAGCACTACAAAAGTCCAGAGCAGCAAAGCATAGGCTACAGGATGACCTCTGTCTTTTACCATGTGTTTTGTGGTTTGTGTTAGGTGGTAAAGTTGCCTGGAGGTTTTATGCTTTTCCCTGAAAAGCCCTGAAGCATAGCATTAGCATCATATTTCAAATTCCTAACCACAATGCTTTTTGTAGGTTTTTTTTTAAGAGTACATGTAAGGATTTGCTACGTAAGTAAACTGTGTGAAGGCAAGGGTTGGGCTTCTAATGAGTCCTGTCCCCTTCAGTAGTGGACATGGTACCCAGTGGGTGGCCATGTGTCCCTTATCCCCCCCCTCCTTTGGCAGTGTCCAGCATCTGTTGTTCCCACTTTTGTGCCAGTGTGCCCAATGTTAATGCCCACTTATGAGTAAGAACACATGGCATTCAGATTTTTGTTTCTGTGATAGTTCACCTATAATGATGGTTCCAGCTGCATCCATGCTGCTGCAAAGGACATGATTTCATTCTTCTTTATGACTGCATAGTATTGCTTTTTGTAGTACAAAGGACTTAATAAACTATTGGACTGTTAAGGAAAGGAGAAGATTTGGCTGTGATTTTCCTTTGCTTTTGCTACTTGCCTATAGGAAATGTTAAGGGAAATTTTTATTTCTACATTTTCTTATTTTCTTAATAAATCTTCCAGGAAATTAGCCACATTCAAAAATACCAACTATTTATTGCAAATGTTCCAGATGTTGCCTATATTAAGAGTAGGAGTGCATAAGGTGATGGATATCCACTGTTGTCAATAGGAAAATTTCCAAAGCATATAATAGATGTTACATTCTATTAGCCACTGTAAGGGGATGCAAAAAAAAGCATCCAGGGTTTTCTAGGATGGATTGTTGTCAGTCCATGTATCAGAAAATGTGTTCCCTTTTAGGCATAAAACTCTAGTCTCAGAAAACTTATGGTTTATTTGAATTAAGTTGGCTTAGAAAGAAACAATGATCAAATGCAAGACAAAATAATACAAGCTGAAATCAGTAGTGCTAGGAGTCAAACCAAATTTCTACTAGGGTGATTTTTAAGTGTTAACATTTGTCTCTTAACAAGTATGACTCATTTAATTAAATATTATATTTAAATTTCAAGATTTTATTGCAATGGGAAAGATTCTAAACAATTAATGATCTTAAAATAATTAGTATGATTTGGAGATCCAGTTTAAAATGCTTGTGTAGAAAGTCATATTAACCCTTTTGTGCATAACCCTGATCTCTTCCTGGCTAAAAAGCCTAGGGCCCAACTAACTGGTGTGGGGAAGGTGGCTCTGAATTATACTAATCAGTTCTTTTCCCTGTGTTCTCCCACCCTTAAAAACCAAACAGAAAACTCTTGGTGCAGATGATATCATGTTGGCAAAGGATCCCGCATCTGGCATCTGTACTCTTCTATATGACAGTGCACCAAGTGGCAGGTTTGGCACCATGACCTATCTCTCCAAGGCAGCTGCCACCTACGTGCAGGAGTTCCTGCCCCACAGCATCTGTGCCATGCAATGAGACTTTGGGTCCTGGCTTCTGGGAGACTTTTGACAGCTGGTCCCTGCCTTGGTTGATTGTGCATGGAACTGAAATGTATCGCCTGATCACTCCCACCTCTGGTCCTTCCTATCCCATCCTCCCCAAGAAGAAAGAACTTTTTCAATAAACTAACTGCTTTAGAAGAAGTGAACCCTTATCTGGAGGCTCACCTCCAGTATGCATATGCTCAACCAGGCCTGTCATAATTGTTTAATTTTTTCATGATTCATAAAAGTTTGCATGTATTTTTATTCTCTAAATCTGTTACCAACACAGTTTTCTAACTCCTGTTTGAGAAGCGGGTGTTAATAATAACTTATTCCTAAAGTTTGGTTTTTCTTATGTCTGATTTTATTGTATACATGAGTGGTAGGTGCTTTGTGACATTATTTCAAATGAGTAAACCCTAAATTGTTAGATTTTATTCTGCTATAAAATGGAAATATCTATTCTAAGTGCCTTTTCTTGGGAAAAGGGAGTACAAGATAATGGTTTCCTTCTTTACTCACAGAATGCCTCCCACTGAGTGATGAAATTGTTTCTGTGTAGAATCGTTATCTCTACTGTTGTCCTCTCTGTATCTGCACACATAATGCCTACCCTCACTTTGGCGAAATATCAAAAAATGCAAGCACTGAATGTATATTTAAGGATTTCCATATTAATACTGAAAATCACATTTTATGAAGACTGTTGATACTCAGAGATGTATTTGCATCAGAAAACGCAGAGTAACCCAGCGAAATGGAGCCAAAAGCCCAATTACAAAGAAGAAAGGAAAGACGAGAAGATGCCCGAGCAATGTCTTACACATAGGGAACAGAGAGGAATCAGAGGTGGGTTCGTTCCCTGAAGAAAACCCTGTGCACCTAATCCTTGCCTTTGAAAAGTGGGCCAACATGCAACACAGATAGTAATTTAAGCCTCTGTCTTTGACAAAGAGAAATCTAGCAGTCTAGTCTATAGCTGCTCCACTGAGCAGTCTTTTCTTGTGCTCTTTGTCTCTGTCTCACTCACCCACTCACTTTCTACCGCATCCCTGCCCTCCCCCATCTATTCTTAAAGCCTTTCACATATTTCACTTCCTAGTTCTAGTGTACAAATCCCTCTATATCTTGGTGTCTTTCTGATTACGTACTTTTCTGGTCACTTGAAAGAACATTTACACACTGTTCTGAAACTGCTTGTCTTTTCACTGGCTATAAGTGTATCCCAATCATAGGAAGTACATCTAAAGTGCCACAGGCAAAAGCCACCTCTCTTTCCAACACTCGTTTGCCTGAACTGACACTCATGACTACATTTCTCTGGGTTTACTAAACTGCCTGTCACCATGATTCTCATACAGTGATAGTTAACTTTTAAAACGACTTTGTATAAAACTCTACTTGTATTTTGTTCATTTTAAGTGTGATACCAAAAGGACACGTTAAAATTTTTAAAAAGACACTTATGTTTTGAAAATAGAATAAGCCGGGCTTGGTGGCTCAGCCTATAATCCCGCGCCTTTGGGAGGCTAAGGTGAGTGGATTGCCTGAGCCCGCGGGTTCGAGACTTGCCTGGGCAGGCGAGACCTCATCTCTACAATAAGTCAAAAAATTAGCTGGGCGTGGTAGCGCGTGCCTATAGTTCCAGCTACTTGGAAGGCTGAGGCGGAAGGATCGCCGGAGCCCAGCAGGTCGAGGCTGCGGTGGCCAGGAGTGGCCACTGCACTCCAGTCTGGGCGACAGAGTGAGACTCCAACTCAAAAAAATAAAAGAAAAGAAAATAGAATAAATAATGAGAATTTCCAATTAAATAATATGTGGTGTCAATTACAAAACTTTATATGCATTTTTGTGATTGGAGTTTATTTCAGGCTTTATTCTACATACTCTTTTATTATACAGTACAAAGTTCATTAATTGGGTCAAATAATATTAATATTAACATATAGATTGTATATTATAATACATGCATATATATTATATATTAGATAATAAATGTAAAGAAACACAGTTTTGTTATTTATATGCATACCCACTCAAACCAGGCTCACTAAATCCAAATGCGCTTGTTGATATCTATAGGGATTCTGTTCTGATGAATGAATAAGACAGCTTTTTACTCAGTATTTCAATTGTATGCAAATAGTGCTTCTCCCCTACTGGAGGGTACTGCAAAACAATCTGTTCTCCTACGTATTATAAACATTTGGCAGAATCTTGCTCATACTATTCATTAGCCTCTTCTATAACAAGAGAGGGTTTATCTAGCAAGGATGAAATGTCCCATCCTGGTTAATTAATTTTACTATATGCTGGGAATCTGATGCAACTTATGGGGCAAAAGTTGTTGTTCTTAGCCATAGTCCACAAAATCTCTACCATTTTTTTGTACTTACAAATGCCTAGTATCTGTATTAAGGCAGTGGAGATAATATAGTGTTTTCCTCATTTAGTCTGCATTTTGTATTTAACTTGAGTGACCTCAGGTCTTGGTTTGTCCAGGACCGCCCTCAGTTATGCCTCCTTTCCTGGCATAATTATAATTATTAATAGCATTCTCTGTCACTCTCAAAAGTGTCCCAGTTTTGATGATATGGTCACCTTATATTTAGCACAAGTCTTATTTCCTTTAAAACTATGCCAAAAAGTCAAGCACCTATTCTCAAACCACTAGAAGTAGTGATATAGGGGTAAGTTAAGGGGGAGACATTCCTCCCCAAAATTGAGGACTACTTGACATAATGGTTCTTAAAACAAATAGCCAATATAGGAGCACTTAGCAGATGGCATTGTTATATAGGCACTTGGCATGAGCCATCTTATCTTTACAATCTCCATGTTAGGTAGATATTGTTGGCACCTCCATCTTACAGGTAAGGGAATTGAGGCACTGAGAGTTTAAGCAAATTGCCCAAAGTCAAACAGCTAATAAGTGGTAAGGCTGGGAGTTGAACAAGCAGTCTGACTCTAGAGTTCACATTCTTAACAGTTACACTATCCAAGGAAAAGACATTAGGGAATAGTGTTAAAACAAGGGTCAGTCAAATACAGCTGAAGTATCAGTGGACAGATTGTGAAATATGCAAAGAAAACAGCCAAAGGGGTAGTGCCCTTGCAATGTGCTTATGTTCCCTTCTGAGGAAAAATAGGGAGAACACCAAAAAAAGTGGCACAGCCCAACCTGACCTTGCTGGTTTAAACATGACCTTTAGCAATAATGGTTGAGGAGAGGGAGTCAAGTAATTTGCCCAGAGTCACCACCCTAGCAAGCTTTGGAGACAAGATTCAACCTATTAATACTTCCTCTGATCTCAAGTCCTTCAACTGCAAATCCAGTGCTTTGGGAATGGTTTTCTTTGAAATCTAAGAACCATATGGGTATTAGGCATGCAGAAAATTGAGGTTAGGGGCCTGCAACATTATATGTGCTCTTTCTTTATCATGAGCACAGTCTTGTCCAGCCTGCCTGTGAGATTTGCTGCAGGAATACGTTGCCAATTCTGTTGCACAGAGCAATGTGCAACAATATACCTTTCTCCAGATTTGCCACAGTGTGCTGTATTAGGATACTGTTTCCAGTTTAGAAGAGTTCAGCTGTCTGTTGCTAGATCTGAAAGAACATGAACAATTCATTTTCATGTCATCTGATTACAGTCCAGAATTCAGGGTGTCAGTTGGCCTGTCAACATTGTGCCCTCTGCTTTCCACTACCTGTCCTTGAAGGCTCAGGATGAGTCCCAGCCCCATTCCTCCTTTGTATTGCCAGCTTTCATTATCTCACCTTTCAGTCAACTCTTATAGCCCAATAGACTCCTTCCCCTCTGTCAACATGTGCTGTTCTCTCTTATCCTTAAAAACAAAGTCTGGACTCTGACAGCCCCTCAGGCTGATAGACTAACTCCTTCCTTTCACAATCACATTTCTTCAAAGAGAAAGCTACACTTAACTGTGTTGGCTTCACTTCTTAACCCCTCACAGTCTGGCTTCCTCCCCTACCTCCTGTTTTCCCTCCATAAGGAACCAGTGAACTCCTATTGGTTAAAGGAGTCTTTGACTCTTTTACCATACATGACATTTTTATTCTCTTTCCCTTCTTGGAACTCTCTCCTTCCCTGATTTCTGTGAAACTACTACAGTTGGTCTAACCCAACTATTCCTTGTCTCCTTTCTGGCATCTTTTTCTCCCATGAACCCCCACAAACAAGCATTTCCAAAAATTACACTCTTTGTCCTAGCTCAAAGATTCTCATCAGGGTGTGAGGCAGATTTTAGTGACATGATGCAAATTATTTTTAAAGGCTCACTCTGGTGGCTACAAAGAGAATAGGTTGTAGAACAGAAAGAGTGGAGGTAGAGACCAGGTAGATAATGCGGAAAGTCCAAATGAGAGATAATAGTGCCAAGACCAGGATAATGTCAGTGCAGAGGGAGAAGAGTGAATGAATGTATTTAAGGCATGTCTTGAAGATGGAACTGATGGAAATTGCTGATGGATTGGGTCTGTGGGTGAAAGAAAAGGAGGAATACAATGCCCAGATTTCTGGCTTAGGCACCTGGGCAGATGTTGGTGTCTTTATTGAGCTATGAAAGATAGAAAAGGGGTGAAAAGTATGGGAAATTGGGAGTTTGGGTTTGAAAATGTTAAGTTAGCTATGACTATGAGGAACCCTAGTGGAGAAAGCCATGCTTCTTTGACTGTCTCAGCCATTCTTATGACTTCAGGTAGCACCTCTTCATGTGGAAAGTGTGGGTGTTTGTGCTTGCATCTCACTGCAATTGTTTAGCCCCTTGATTTCAGAAATAACACTTTTTTAATTTTAAAGATGTGGAGTACAATTCAGGGTTAGGTATACAAATGTCCATTATGCAGGTACCCTTGTTGATGGGGTGTGCCCCCCACCCGGCAGTTTCTCACTACTGTCAATCCCTTTCTTATAGTATTATAATTGTTATGATCTGCTTATGAGTGAGAACATGTGATACTCAGTTCTTTGTTTCTATGATAGATCACTCAGAATTATAGAGACTAAGGTCATCCAAGTTGCTGCGAATTTAATAATTTCTCCCCTCTCTCTCACCAATATCAAGGTAGAAAGTCCTGTTGAACCTACCCTGTGCAGTGTATCTCCCTCTCTGTTCCCACTGCCCCCATCCTAGTTCAAAATTGTCATCACTTATTATCTGGACCATTGTGGCACTCTAACTGCCTCTAGCCTTTCAATGATTAATCTTCCCTACACACTGCTGCTGTAGAAATTTTTTCTTAATATTTGTCTAAATGTCTCCCAATTTGCCAAAGAATGAAGTCCATTCTCTTTACCCTGTATTTAAAGTCCTTTATGATCTGGTTCCTTCAGCTAAGTGAGACTAGAAATTTTCTCCTTTGTGATTTTTTGCTTATGCTTTTCATTCTAGTCAGCATGCTCTCCCCTTTCATCTTCACCAAGCAAAATCCTGTCCATTCTCTAAGACCTCTCAAATGCCACCAGATAAGAATCATAATTACCATTTATTAAATATGAGTTAGTATCTTTGACAAAGCCTCCAACAACAACCACTGGGGAGAGGAGAACCTATTCAGTGAATGGTGCTGAGAAAACCGACTGATCACATGCAGAAGATTGAAACAGGACCCTTACCTACCACCATACCCAAAAATTAACTCTAAATGGATCAAAGACCTAAACGTAAAACCTCAAACTATAGGAATCTTAGAAAGTGCAGGAGACACCCTTATGGAAGTTGGAACTGGCAACCAATTCCTATTCAGAACCCTAAAGGCTAATACCTTAAGAAATAAGACAGACAAGTGGGACCGCATCAAACTGACGAGCTTCTGCAAAGCAAAAGAAACCATCAAGAGAGCAGGGAGACAGCCCACAGACTGGGAAAAAATATTTGCCAACTGCATATCTGACAAAGGCCTAACATTTAGGATCTACAAGGAACTCAAATGCGCTGAAAGGAAAAAAACAAACAGCCCCTTTATAAAGTAGGCAAAAGACATGAGTAGACATTTCTCAAAAGAAGATATATGGGCAGCCACATGAAAACAGACACATGAAAAAGTGCTCAGCCTCACTCATCATCAGAGAAATGCAAATCAAAACCACATTGAGATATCAACTAATCCCTATAAGAATGGTCATCATTAATAAAACAAACAACAACAGATTTGGGCAAGAATGTGGGGGGAAAGGAACGCTTCTACACTGCTGGTGGGAATGCAAACTAGTGCAACCTCTTTGGAAGACAGTGTGGCGATTTCTGAAAGAACTAGAAATTGACCTTCTGTATGTCCCAGCAATTCCCTATTGGAAATATACCTGGAGGAACTCAAATTATTCTACAAAAAAGATACCTGCACACGTGTGTTTGCTGCAGTTCTATTCACAATAGCAAAAACATGGAACCAACCACGTTGTCCATCAAAGCTGGACTGGATACAAAAATGTGGTACATACACACAATGGAATATTATGCAGCCATAAAGGAGGACAAACATGGACTTTGCAGCAACTTGGATGGATTTGGAGTCTATTATACTCAGTAATCCATCACAGAAACAGAACAGAGTACCATAGGTTCTCAGTCATAAGCAGACCTTGAACAATTATAATACTATAAGAAAGGAATTGGCAGTAGTGGGAAACTGTCAGGGGAGGCGGGTGGGATTGGCAGTTGAGGGAAACTGCTAGGGGAGGGACGGGCATACCTCATCAACAAGGGTATCTGCAGAATCAACGTTTGTATACCAAGCCCTGAATTGTACCCCACATCTTTATAATAAAAATAAATAAATATGAGTTGGTAAGTTATTAATGCTTCTTTATTAACTACACTGAGCATTCTACATTCATTATCTGAGTCTGCATTGCCTATGATTTCTTGTGTATTTGCCTCATGTTCTCTTCAAGAATGCAAATTCTTTCAGAGCAGAGATCAGATTGTAATTCATCTTTTCATTCTCAGCTGTATTTTGTACTACACTTAGTTGATGTCAGATAAATATTTGGTGAATGGCTGAATGATTGCAAAGCTTTTTATTAGTTGTTATGTGAAAACATAAAAGAAGCTTAAGAGCTTACATTCTAGTTAGAGGGAAAAAAATCACCCCCCCCCAAAAAAAAACAAGATTTCCTGAATAATAAGTATTGAGGGGATATAAAATGGAGGGTGGACAAAGTTAGATGGTAACACAAAGTCATTCTGGAGGAATCAAATTAATATAGTAAAGGGAATGCTCAAAGGCTTTGGTGTCAGCTTGACCTGATTTTAAAGTCCTGCTTTTCTGTTTGTTAAGTGTGTGACTTAGAACAGTTATTTTCTCTCTCTAAACTGCATCTGTAAAATGGGTGTATTACAACCTCTTTCATAGGACTGTTGCAAAGATGAAATGAGGTAATATATCCAGTATGCATGTCACAATACTTACTAAATATTTAAAGAGTAAAAAGCAAGCTGGGTTTTAAAGAAGGCAAGGATGTGGAATTATCTTGGAGGTGTTAGTAGGTTAGTGTGAGAATTGGGGGCCTGGGCATTGGCCAGCTTGTAGCAGATCATGGGGCCTCTGGGAACCTGGAACCTCCAGGAACCTAGAAGTGCTGATGGATGGTAATTCTTAAACTGTCTCAGCATAATCTGTAATGTGGTCTTACACTAAACCTAAAATACTTCCCTAGCTTCTGTTTAGCTGCTGAAACAAAAGGAGAGAGGGAAGAAGAGCTGCAGCTTCCAAACACCACTGAAAGTATCTAATTGTATCCTTCCTACCACATGAATGTTCAAAGACTACATTTGACATCATTGCTGGGTTGTAATCTACCAAGTAATTTGCAGGCTCTTAGGAAAGTTCTATCAGATTTGCTAGAGTAAATTATTGAGGTTGTTAATTCTCACATGGACATGGATAGTTAATGTTGAAAAGTAATGAACCAAAGATGCATTACAGATTTTGCTGTGTAAACTTTTCAAACCATTTGTACCATTAATTAGACCTTTGCTAGAAAAGCCCGCCTTTTGGATAGGCAGCTGATGTAGCTGGGTGGTGGGGGTCTAGGTGGCCACATTGTATCTGTCTTTATATACTTAAATGGATGTGTTTTCAAATTAAAACAATTTCATAAAGAGTTGAGGCCAAAATAAAAGAGCTGAGGTCACTTTTCTTTTTCTTTTTTTTAAGCCTAAACTGAGAATCGTGGCTATTTTAGTGATTAGTCTCGGCTCTTCCGCAGCTCAAACCGCTGGAAACTACATCTCCCAGCATGCTCTGAAGTTGGTCTGACCTCATCTCAAATGGCACCGTAGGGCAACAAGGATGGTTAGTTTTGCCCTACTTATTTGTGCCGTAAAAAATCGATCCTAATTGACAGCTATTTGGATTTTTATATCTGAATAACCCCTTTTATGTAACATAGTCACTAAATGAAGGGGTTCTGGCCCGGGAAGTTCCATCCATTCCTTCAGTTGAATGGGGAACAGGGACAACTTCGGGGCGATCTCAGGAATAGGAGGGAATGTTGACCAGGGAGCACCACTGCGGCCGATCAGAGGAGCAGGAACTAGAGCCCCGGCTGAGTCCGAAAAAAGCCGGATCTGCACAGTGGCTCCGCAACGGTTGGAAGTGGAAGATGGAGGAGCAGGAGGAACCAGCGGACGGTGGGCAGTCGCTGCCTCCGGTTTATATCTATAGTCCCGAGTATGTCAACATATGCGACTCCCTGGCCAAGGTCCCCAAACGGGTAAGGTTGGAATGAAAGACCGTGGGTTTTGGGGGTGGGGGTGGGGTCGGTGGACGAGAGGGCATTAGAAAGCGGAGAGGATCCTGGGCTGGGCGAGATCCTCTGAAATTCGGTAGCTGTTTCAAATACCTAAAACTGTTTCGGGAAGAATTGTGCCCAGATAGTTTTTGAAAACACACCGTGTCTCTGCGGGGCATCCAGTGGACAGGTGGGGAGGGGACGGGGAAAGGGAGGGTATGAAGTATCCGCTACTTGAGGTCGCTAAAGTCGTGGGACTGTAAGCTGCAGCGGACTGTAAGCTGCAGCGGAAAGTGTTCCATTACCTGCGCAAGGCCCTGTAGTTTTCGCTTGAATTACTTTGATACTTTGTATCTGTATTGTGTAAAGTATACTGTAACTGTTAAGTAACAGAAGGGAAGAGAACCGAAACAAAGTTAGTCCCTTTGTTCAGGATGATGAAGGTGACCGGATTTTGCTGAATTAAACTTTTAAGAGAAAATTTTCTGCTTTTTTTTTTCCTCCGCGAATGTTTTTAGGCCAGCATGGTACATTCTTTGATTGAAGCATATGCACTGCATAAGCAAATGAGGTAAGTTGTCTTTCAGCGACATAGCCCTGAAGCTAGGTGTTCATAGCCTTAATATCCTGCTTTACAGTGGGGCTAATTAAAAAGGGAATCGTTCCTTTTTTAAATTTTAGCTTTTTGTGAGAGTATTCAGTGTTTGTAATCTGCCTGTAACCCCGTGAAAGCTCTTGAAGAACTAAGAAAACGAAAAAAGTATACGAAGCAGTTAAGGTCCATTAGGAATAGGACTTAAATGCTGGGTGGAGAAATATCCCAAGGATAGGTACATTGTGGAGATTTTGAGGTATGTACACTTGAGTTCTAAAACCTGTCTAATAGAAAAAGGTATTCAGCTGAAAGGTGCTCCATTTTTTGTTTGTTTGTTGTCTAAGCCAGATCTGAGGCTGGGGGTTCAATTTAAGATTTGTAGACAACCCACCACACCAAACTTTAATGGATAAGGCTGGAGACAAGTCAAGATCAAAGCAAACTGTTAAGGCCAAGCCAGAATTCAAGAGAGAGAGCTAACTATTTCTTTCAAAACATGAGCTTGCTATGTATTGCTGTATTTGATGTCATGATAAGAGCACATATAACCCTGTCATGTATAGGATTACTTATGACATTTTCAGTCAAATAGATGAGTGTCTACACTAGCTGATGTGGTATGTTTCATTCATCTCCCAGAAAATAGTGTAATAAGCTTTCAAATTTAATCCTTAGTATTAATAAAATTGTTCATTGAGTACCTTTTTTTTTTTTTTTTACTCAGAGTCTTACTCTGTCACCCAGGCTGGAGTGCAGTGGGGCATGATCACAGTCACCACAGCCTCGACCTGCTGAGCTCAGGCGATCCTTCCACCTCAGCCTTTCAAGTAGCCAGAGCTACCGGCACATGCCACCATACCCAGATAGTTTTTTGACTTTTGGTAGAGATGAGGTCTCGCCAAGTTGCCCAGGCTGGTTTCAAATGCCTAGGCTCAGGCAGTAGTCTCACCTCTGCCTCACAACGTTCTGCGATTATAAGCGTCCATGACCATGCCCAAGCTCTTTTTTAGGAATGTTTTTCAACCATTTTTGAACCTATATGGTTTGGTAAACATAGTAAACATATGCCTTTAATTCAAGTTATTTAACATTTCAAAAAATTATTTTGTGACAAGCAAGATATCAAAACAAAGCAAAATTGTCTGAATTCCTTGCCATCCAATAGGGATGCTTTCAGTAGGTGTTTTAACATTTAACAAAATAAATTGGAAGGGTGCTAGGATAAGGAACTTTTAGGGCTGGGAAACATGGTCCAAGAAATGTCAAACTTTTATTTTAATAGATAGATGTTTCACCTCTGATGGTGTAGATGTCTTTTCTTGAAGAAGAAGCAAGAATCCTTGGCTCTTAGCTATCTACTTAATTTTTGTTCTGAGACCATAGTATTTCTCCTGGCCACCCTGGTGATTGTGGTAGTCTGTACAGTCTTGGTAATTCATGATAAACTCATAACTGTATTCCCACTTAGCAAGCATAGCAAACCACTGCTGCCTCCCTGTGGTCTAGCTCAGTGCTCCTTCAACTTGAATGTGTACATGAATCACCTTAAGATGCATCATCTTGGTAAAACACAAATTCAGATTCAGTAGATCTGAGGCAAGGTTAAAGTTCTTCTAACATGTTCTCAGGGGTACTGCTGCTGCTGGACCACAGACCACCCTTTAAGTGGCAAGGGCTAGAGAATGGGTAGTGGCAGCTGTGGGGTCAAGAAGAAGAAATGGGGAATAGCCAGCTAGAGATAAGAAGTGGTAAGTCCTTTTAAGTTCCTTTGTTCCCTTATTCACTCCTATGTGTCACTCCTTGTGAGAAGTATGGTGAGATATTCTGAATGAAGCCCAGTTCCAATCATTTTGCCCCCTCGTTCCTTCCTCTCAGAGACAGATGTGTGAGACAAAGCATAGAAACTTTTCACATTTGGGGTTGTCTGTCTTTTTATTCTTTAATATTAATAATGGTACTTATCCACAAAAGCATTTTTTATTTGTTATTCTTTAATCTTGGCACAAGTCCCATAAAGTTTCCCAGTTTACAGATGAGAACTGAGCTACAGAACAGTCAACTTACCTGAGGTTATAGAGCTAAGTAAGTACATTTAGGATAGGAACCCAATTATCTGACTCTAAATTCAAAATGATAAAATAAACATAATAGCCAAAAGGATTATGTAGCCCAATTATAGCAACTGTTTCAAATGAAAATATCCCTGCCTCCTAGTGTCATGAAATTTGTAATTTACAGAGTAAAGTTTGACACCTAATTGTTTAACTTGAATATAATTACTTACTTGTTTTTAACCACCTATAAACTCAAGGGAAAATCCATATTCTTACCCTTTATTAATGGAGCTATTACTATAGATATGAGGAAGTGAAGACTATACAGTACAGTAGAGGAACAGAATGTGTTTAGGACTTCAGTTCACTGGAACCAGGAGCTGGGGGTTGTGTTGTCTGCTCAGACTGCTGGCTCCTGCTTCTAGCTTCTGACATATGCTGGGTCTGACTCACTTTCTCTCTCTCTCTCTCTCTCTCTCTCTGTCTCTCTCTCTCTCTCTGTGTTATTATTAGGATAGTAAAGCCCAAAGTGGCCTCCATGGAGGAGATGGCCACCTTCCACACTGATGCCTATCTGCAGCATCTCCAGAAGGTCAGCCAGGAAGGCGATGATGATCATCCGGACTCTATAGAATATGGGCTAGGTAAAGTCATGACCAGGCAGTGATAGGAGATGAACAGCCCTCCATTTGTAGATTATAGTACTTAAAGGTTTTATAATTTGTATGATGTTTTTAATTATGAAATAATATGTTATCTGTCAATCTTAATCTCTTGGTTTAGCCACATATACCTCACTAAACAGGCAAACCATGTGAACTAAGCAAAACTGGATGATGGGTCAGATGGAAGAAACTCTTTCTTAGCTTAGGTCCTAATGGCAGTACTCAGATCTGGCTGTATATATGCCAATTTCGCTGTTCTGTGACCTTATTAACTTGAGTGTAGATTTATGTTCTGGCTAAGTTTTCCACTTTATCTAATCTGGCTAAGTTTATCACTTTATCATGAAACAACTGCATTTTTTAATTGTAAGTGACCAGCAGGATAGTCTAGAGAAACAGTATGGTTTAATAGAAAGACATTGGAATTGGGGTTAAGAGACCCAGCTGGGTCTGGGCCTGGCTCTCTGTGACCACCAAGACATATCACCTCTTGGGCTTGATTTTTCCATCTTTAGCATATGACTGGTTTGTCATGAAGGTTTATCCTTTCTGGCTCTAACCTTTTAAAAATTCTTTCCCCATTGTTGGAGATGTTTCTGTCTCAATTGGAGCTGATGTTAGTACAGTAGCTTTTTAGTAGATTATATGATTGTAGCACCTCAACCTATTCCTTCTCTTTCTCCAGTTCATCTTATAACAGGCTCTTCCAATTCTCACCCTAAGGTTATGACTGCCCAGCCACTGAAGGGATATTTGACTATGCAGCAGCTGTAGGAGGGGCCACAATCACAGCTGCCCAATGCCTGATCAACGGAATGTGCAAAGTAGCAATTAATTGGTCTGGAGGATGGCATCATGCAAAAAAGTAAGAAAATGACCTTTCTGCTTTCTGACTCTTTCCTTGAGTCAATTTCTCAGTTATATAAACTCTTATGCTTATTATATTGACATTAACAGAGAGACATATGTGTGTATTGGCACTTTACAAAGGCATTCTGAAGAGATGCAAGTGAAATAGAAGATGATAACCTAATGTAGTGGAAAGCACACTATTGAAAGTCGGGTCACCTGGGCTGTGTGCCTAGATTTTTGCTAACTTGGCTAACTGACTTGAACAGATTAACCTCTCTAGGCTTTAGTTTCTTCATCAGTAAAATGGACAAGACAAAGGATATAACTAGACAGTCTCCAAGTTCCTTTTCAGGTTCCTAGAAATTCCTCTGTTCTCAAGGAACTTATACTCAAGAAACATTAACAAAATTAGATTATTAGAACAAACAAACATTAACAAAATTAGAGCATCAATTATGGTACCAATGGAATATATGTGTAAGCTGAAGAGACTTAGCAGTAGGAAGAAATTAATCATTGAAGTCTTGGGAGAGAGGAATTTTAGAGCTAGTTCTTGAAAGAAGTGGGAAACAGAATTTTGAATAGGTGGATAATTGCTGAAAATAGATTTAAAACAAAAGGTTGAAGTGTCAAGAAAGGGGCTCATGCTTCCATCTCTAAGGAAAGTGGCAACCTGGAGGTAAATGTATCTCAAAGGCAAAGGCCTTAGGGTTCTTCTTAGGCACTTCTTGGGGTTAGGGGAAAAAAGTCCTTTTGGAGTTTTGTATTAATATGTTGAACCACAATACTCTGACAAGGACTGCTAGACTTTCTTTAGCATTTGCTATCTTGTTTGATATGTTTGTAGAACTTAATACATATTGGGGGAGAAGGATTTTTAAAACTCTGAATTTATCAATGTGCTGTCTGAGTGAAATAAAGCCACTGTGGTAGTAAATGCCGATGCATCATTCACAAATCAATTGTTCATGCAATCGACCATGGCCTTGATATTCTTAGGTGCTCTTGAGTCAAAGGAAAATAGCACTTTGTTTTTCAGAATAAAACACAGCACAATTTCAACACATGCAGGTTAAGATAATAACATGGAATTCTTTTCATCAGATTGACAGATTTCTTGACCAAGGAACTCCTTGAAAAATTTACTGCTAGAATCTACTACTTAGGCAACTGAGGAAGGCAACCAATGTTTTAGTAATGAGTTTTACATGGTCTTAAAAACAAGACAGATGCCTGCCTTTTTGTTTGTTTGGCTGGTTGAGTTTTTTGTTTGGGTTTATTTTTGGTTTTGGGTTTTTTGTTTTGTTTTTTGTTTGAGTTTTTTTTTTTTTTTTAAGTTCAATATAGAGACAGTGATTGCTAGGGGGAAAAAATGACCCTCTCTCCTTCAAGCTACGAAATGAAAGGAGAAAAACAAGTTCCTCTGAATCCAAGATTTTTATGTCCTCTTGAGTTTAGCAAGCTGGGAAGAAACACAGTGTAACTTCATAGAAAATGCCTGTTACTACAAGTAGATCTAATTTATTATGTATTTAAATTCACTGCAGCAGGGTCAATTTGCAGTGAAGTACTCAGATACTTGTCACCTCTTATTGCTGTTTTGCTACCAGAGGAAGCGCACTCTGTCTTGAGCCAACCATGACTGCTTCTGGGCTGCATGCAGGTACAGACATATCCACATATAATTGCCTTAATTGTTATGGACAGCTTTCAGCTGATCCTGCCTGAAAAAAGACATGCCTGTAGTAAGTGTAAATTAAAGAGAGTCTCTAGAGATTGTCCCAATTTAGTTCTGAATTCCACGGTGTTCTTGGCACCTCTAGAAACTCTCTGTAGATAGATTGCAAACTTCAACCCACAAACTTACATGTAGCCGGCATTTACCTATTATAGTTGCAATATTTGTTTAAACCTCCCCATCCCCAAATATAGGTAATGATTCACACATGCCATTTATTCATTGAACAAGCATTGATTAAGTACCTACTGTATGTCAAACATATGTTTATTATCATTAATAAGCAGCTATAGAAATTGAAGCAAGGTATATTTTTTTACCCTACCAAGTTTTGAAAAAAAAAGTCTTTATTTCAAAACATCCAGGTACTGGCAAGAGTACAGTGAAATTGGCACCATTGTTTTTGAAAACTTCGAAAGTGTTAAGAGTGGAAAATATCTTCTTACCTATTGGCCCAGTAACAATATTTTTGGGAATCTATTTTAAGGAAATAAACTAATGCTGCCCTCAAGAAATTTACATCTTAGGAGTAAGACAACAAATAATTGCACCTGAAAGCTAAAGAAGAGTGATTTTTCAAAGGAAATTCTGCAAAAGAAGAGTAATGAAGGACTAATGCTATTAGAAATTAAGCATACAAAACTAGAATAATGAAAACACTAGCACCACTGGTATAAAATTAGACAGATATGTTATAGTACATCCCTCCCCCAAGAGACTGGTTATATATAAGAATTTAATCTATTATAAAGGATGCACTTCAAGTGAATGGGAGTGGAAAGAACTGTTCAGTCAATGGTATTGTGACAGCTTGTAGCACTTATACCCTTATCTCCTGAAATAAACTCATATAAGTGTCAACTGGATTGAAACATTAAATATAGTTGGGTGCAGTGGCTCACGACTGTAATCCCAGCACTTTGGGAGGCAGAGGCAAGAGGACAGCCTGAGCCCAAGGGTTTGAGACCAGCCTGGGCAACTTGGCAAGACTTTGTTTCTACGGTAAATCAAAAAATTAGCCAGGCATGGTGGTAAGTGCCTGTAGTTCCAGCTACCTGGAAGACTAAGGCAGAAGAATCATTTGAGCCTATCAGGTCAAGGCTGCAGTGGCCATGAGTGTGCTACTGCACTCCAGCCTGGGTGACAGAGTGAGACTCCAACTCAAAGAAAAAAAAAGAAATATTAGATATTTTTAAAAAGCAAATTTTAAAAAACTAGAGTGAATGACTATTTGTTGAACATCTAAAGGGGAACTGTTTTTTAAAGGACAAGGCAGGAGGATCATTTAAAGCCGGGAATTGTTTTTTATTAGGAAGTAATAGAAAAAAATCACAAAGGAAAAGATGAATTCTGACTGAATAAAATTTTGGAATCAAAACAACTTTGAAATTTTTCTGGCTATTTTAAAAATAAAATCTAAACACAGACTGACAAAGTGTGATCGGTTTATAATATTGACTGACAAAGTGTGATAGGTTTATAATATCTAAGTCGTTCCTACAGTATAACATATAAGAAATATGGATGAAGAACATGAATGGACTATTTACAAAGGAATTTAAGTATACCTGGAAAACATGAGAAAATGTTCATCACTATTAATCAAAGGAATGCAAATTAAAATAACTAGGTAAGCCTCTTTTTTTGAAAAAAATGTATTTTAAAGATGTGGGGTACAGTTCAGGGGTAGGTATACAAATGATTTCTACGCAGGCACCCTTGATGAGGTGTGCCTCCCCCTGGCAGTTTCCCACTACTGCCAATCCTACCTTCCCTTCCCCTGGCAGTTTCCCACTACTGCCAATCCCTTTCTTATAGTATTATGGTAATTGTTCAAGGTCCACTTATGAATGAGAATATGTGATACTCAGTTCTTTGTTTCTGTGATAGATCACTCAGTATTATAGACACTAAGTTCATCCAAGTTGCTGTGAAGTTCATAATTTTGTCCTTCTTTATGGCTGTGTAATATTCCGTCGTGTACATGTACCACATTTTTTTCCAGTTCTCTTTTGATGGGTAGCATGGTTAGTTCCATGTTTTTGCCTTTGTGAATAATGCTGCAATAAATATGCATGTGCAAGTATCTTTTTCATAGAGTGATTTGAGTTCCTCCAGATAGGTAAGCCTCTTTTTAAACTTGTATTTAACAGGATCAATTTACTAATAAATATAGTTTGGTTCAACACCTTGAGAAAGCACTTTGGTAGCCAATGTATATTAAGGCTCTTTGATCTAGTAATCTTACTTCTGGAAATGAGTTTTTAAAAACACTTAAAATATGGAGAAAAATACCTATTTTCATGAAGATGTTTATTAGTGTTATTTATAAAATTTAAAAAATTAGCCGGGCTCGGTGGCTCAGCCTGTAATCCCGTGCCTTTGGGAGGCTGAGGTGAGTGGATTGCCTGAGCCTGCGGGTTCGAGACCCGCCTGGGCAGCGAGACCTCATCTCTACAATAAATCAAAAAATTAGCTGGGCGTGGTAGCACGCGCCTGTAATTCCGGCTACTTGGAAGTCTGAGGCGGAAGGATCGCCAGAGCCCAGCAGGTCGAGGTTGCGGTGGCTGGGAGCGGCCACTGCACTCCAGTCTGGGCGACAGAGTGAGATTCCAACTCAAAAAAAAAAAAAAAATTTTAAAAATTAAGAGCCAATTGTGATGGCTCACCTGTAATCCCAGCATTTTGGGAGGACAAGGCAAGAGGATTACTTGAAGCCAGGAATTTGAGACCAACTTGGTCAACCAGGTAGTAAGACCTGGTTTCTTCCAAAATATATAAATAAATTAGCTGGGCATGGTAGTGTATGCCTGTAGTCCTAGCTACTCAGGAGGCTAAGGTGGGAAGATCCCTTGAGCCCAGGAGTTTGAGGCTACTGTGAACTGATGGTGCCACTGCACTCCAGCCTGGGTGACAGAGACAGAGTGAGACAAAATTTTTTTTTAATTGAAATAGCATGAATGTTTATTTATAAGTGAATGGTTGATCCACTCTGTAGACTTTTATGCTATTATTTTAAATGATGGTTATGCAGATCATGGGGCATTTCAGAAAAACACTTGATGTGTGTCAATAAAACAGCAGATCTTAAAACACACTGCCATCATGACTTTGTAAGGCACATGTATGAGGAAAAAAGACAAGTAGAAATGATGATAATGATTTTCTTAGGGTGGCAGAATATTGGTGGCTTTAAAAAAATATTTTTATTTAGCTTTCAAAATTTCTGTAATGAGATTATATTACCTTTGCTGCTAGAATTTTTTTTTTTAGTC